GGTCTTTCATAGCAAAGTTCTCACTGAGATGCTTTTGCACACATTTAATGGCGTCACCCGAAGGACTAACAATCAACATATCATCCACATATAGCAATAAAAATACAGGCACAGAAGAAGTAATTTTAAAGTATAGGCAATGGTCGCATTCGGACTTGTGAAATTTCAAAGATGACATGCACTGGTCAAATTTGATATTCCACTGCCTCGGGGACTGCTTCAGGCCGTACAAGGCCTTCCTAAGCAAACACACATGATCACTCTTCATGGGATCCACAAAACCCTCAGGCTGCGACATATAGATTTTCTTATCTAAATCACCATGCAAGAATGCAGTGGTGACGTCCATTTGCTTCATTTCCCAATCATTATGAGCAACAAGAGCAAGCATCATTCTAATCGTAGTAAATTTAACTACAGGAGCAAAGATTTGAGCATAATCAACACCTTCCTTTTGAGTAAATCCCTTAGCTACTAACCTAGCCTTATATCTAATGTCGTTAGGCTCTTCCTTAACCTTAAATAGCCACTTACAGGCAACAACGGAACTATTGGGCGGTCTAGGAACTAACGTCCAAGTCTTATTCGCTCTAAGTGAATCCATCTCACTTTCCATGGCGCAAAGCCATTTAGCGGACTCACTAGACTTAAGGGCCTCTCTATAGGTTCTAGGTTCGTTAAGCTCAAGGGTCTCAAACACAGAGAAAGCAAACATAGAAGTATCACACATATGGAAAGCATAATCAGGCATACTATCAGCAGTTCTCCTAATTATTCTCCTACTTCTATCTCTAGCAAGTTGATAATCATGCAAATCATTCTCACTAGCATCCGCACTCTCATCATGCGATTCATTGTCATTTGAATGCACATGAGAATACTCCACCTCACTCGAAGTGGTGGTAGTATCATGCTCAGAAGAATCAGAATCATGCAATTCAGAAGAATTAGAATCATGCAAAACAACATTATCATGATTAGCAAACAAAGGGCTAGCAGCACGTGGTATGGACTCCACCTCAACAGGTGTACTACTAGGATCAGACTCAGAATCAGGAACTGACTTAACCAGACAAGGAAACTCGGATTCATTGAAAACAACGTTTCTACTCACCACAACTTTGAAACCTACCTGGTTTCTATCCCAAACCCTATACCCCTTCACACCCTCGGGATAATTAACCTAGGAAGACTCCTTTCTTAAACCTAGGATCCAACTTGTCACCTTGTTGGTGCACATACGCTGCACACCCAAACACTCTAAGATTAGACAAATCAAGGGGTTTGTTTGAAAAAACAGATTCAGGGCACTTCCCACCCAAGGGAACAGAAGGAGACCGGTTAATCAAGTAGACAGCAGTGTTAACTGCTTCACCCCAAAAATTTTTAGACAAACCGGCGGTGGCAAGCATACTCCTAACCTTATCTAGAACAGTCCTATTCATCCTCTCGGCTATCCCATTTTGTTGGGGAGTATAGGGCACAGTTTTGTGCCTTCTAATCCCACAATCAACACACAGTTGGTCCATATCCTTATTGCAAAACTCTAGACCATTATCTGTCCTAAGGGTTTTGACTTTCTTACCAGTTTGATTTTCTACCAGGTTTTTCCACTCCCTAAACTTCACAAAGACATCGGACTTATGCTCAAGGAGACGGACCCACACCTTCCTAGAAAAATCATCAATGATAGACAGAAAATATCTCTTACCCCCGTGGATAGACACACTAGCAGGACCCCACACATCAGCATGAACATACTCTAACACAGAGGTACACTTAGTAGGATTAGGATATGGGGAGGAGGGGAATGTAACCTTATGCTGCTTGCCTAACACACAAGATTCACAAAAGGGGATGGGGGACACAGAATCCTTACCAAAACAACCAGATTTATGCAAAATCTCTAAACCCCTATTACTCATGTGTCCTAATCTATTATGCCACAAAGCAGATTTATCAGAACTAACAACATGAGCAGAATCACAGAAAGGCTGAGCATGGCACACATACAAGTTATTCATCTTTTTTGCCTTAAACAAAACAAGGGAATTTTTCAAAACTTTCATGCACCCATTACCCCATTTACCCTCTAACCCACTACCCTCAAAAGCAGCAACAGAAAACAAGTTATGACGCAAATCAGGAACATGCCTCACATTTTTCATAGTAAACACAGTCCCATTATCAAACTTCAAGCATACATCACCCACCCCATGAATTTTGCATTTCTTATTATCAGCAAGAGACACAAAACCATCATTGCAAGAATCATAAGAAGAAAACGGGGATCTAAAAGGTGTCATATGATAAGTACAACCAGAGTCAATACCCACTCATTTTCAGTCATGCTACTCAACACAGAATTGGCAGAATCACAAATCATAAAAACTTCTTCATGCAAATTATTATCATCTACCACATTAGCATGTTCAGACTTCTTCGGATGGGGACAATCCTTAATGAAGTGACTAGAATTACCACAATTATAGCACACTCTCTTCTTAGACTTACCTCTCTTCTTCCCCGGGTCATTGTTTTTGTTCTTATCGTTGTTGCCCTTCTTATGGTTTCTAGATCTACTCTTAAACCTACCCCTCACAAACAACGTTTCACCTGAGTCCCTAGACTGACTGTTACTACCCCTCGAGTGTCTAAGGTCTAACTCCTTACTCCTTAATCCATTAATGACTACATCCAACGAGATATCATCTCTACCATACTTTATGGCAGATTTGACGTCATTGTATGAGTCAGGGATGACATTAAGTAACACTATGGGTGTGTAGTCATCTATGTGTTTATCACCGGCTTGCTTAATATTATGAATAAGCTTGTTAAACACATCTAGGTTCTCATCTATGTCCTTAGACAGGTCAAGTCTAAATCTAAAGAACTTCTCAAGCAAAAGCAATTTACCAGGCAAAGAAGTATCGGTATACGTCTTATCTAACTTGTCCCACAAAGCCTTTGCAGAATCTATAATACCCACCTTCCTGAGTACTGAATCAGAAAGGTTCAGGTATATAGAGGAACAAGCAGTTTCATTCATTTCATCGCGCTTAGCAGCATTCTCAGAGTCTAAATAGAGACCAGTCACTGCTCTATAGACTTTCTGTTGGATCAACACGCATTTGATTTTCTGTTTCCAGATATCAAAATCTGTCTTTCTGTTAAATGGAAGCATGCCATATTGATTGACAGCCATATTAACCGGAAAGCAAGCACAACACGCAAGAGAGTAAATAAAAAAATTATCAAGCAAAGAACAGTACGAAGCAACTAGCACGAACAAGCCGAGACGACCAATGAACACAAAGCTCGGGTACAATCTCCTTGTTCTTTCGTACCGTACGAAGCAACTAGCACGAACAAGCCGAGAAGACCAATGAACACAAGGCTCGGGTACAATCTCCTTGTTCTTTCGTACAAGCAAGATAAAATTTTTATTTACTCAACAGACAGATAAATGATTAATTATAACCTATAGGGCTATCAATTGTACGAAGCAACTAGCACGAACAAGCCGAGAAGACCAATGAACACAAAGCTCGGGGTACAATCTCCTTGTTCTTTCGTACAAGCACAAATAGGCTAGAATTAAATCAACAAGCACAGAAACTGGATTTAAAACTAATCCGGACAGAAATATTCCCAACTTCGGACAACAAGTATCCAAACAAATATTCTAAACCGGAGAGTTTATCCACGAATCAAACAACAGAAAAACAAAATCAAAAAACCAACACGCGATTAAATTTAAACCGGAAGAAATATTCACAACTTTGGACAACGAGTATCCAAACAAAATATTCTTCACCAGAAAAAATTAATCACAAACCAACAAGTAATCACAATTCAAACAAACAAGTAATTGCAATTCAACTTGAAATTAAAATGAATGAACTACGAATAAAAAATCACACAAAGGATTAGTAAACGTACCAGGGGCCGGACACAGCCGGCATCCAAGACCACGTAGGTCAGCAGCGGGCAGCGGGGAGCGGGGGAAAAATAAATCTGGTGGCACTCCGGTATACCAAGGATGATTATAGCCAATTTACCTGAGCGGGGCCCGAGGTTGGGTTACCCGACTTACCGTAGGCAGCGTGGGCTGCTGTAGACTCGGCGGCAGCGGACTGAAGCGGTGGCTGAACTCCCTGGAAGCGTCTGGCAACAGCTTTCCCGAACTGGCAGAGGCTTTAGACCGGCTGGTTGGACTCCTGGAAGATTCTGGACTCACAGCTGGACTTCGGCAGGTTGTCTGGAGCAACTTCCGGCGACAGCGGGCGACGTCAGACGACGGCGATGCGGCGGAAGGCGGCGGCAGGACCTCCAACGCTCTGATACCACTGTTATATGGACGTCCAGCTCAGGTCTCAACCAATTAACATCCACAAAGGATGAAGAACCACCACTAGAGTCTAAAGGCAAGGTTGTGGGCAACAACCGACTGACTATTCCGGCCAAAACGTCCGGCGAACCCACAAAGGAGGGACTGGTTTGAATTTTCGGACTTAGGGTTTTTTTCGGCCAAGCTCGATCAGCAGAAGGGGAATGATAAATATATAGACCAAGAAATCGGCAAAGATGGTAACAAACGATCTTACCAAAGAAGGAAGATTATGCCAGCATCACACCTATGCGAAGAAGGAAAGAGCCGAGCGAGAAAGATAGCTACAACAATCGGTAAGTTCAAACCGTAAGAGGGCCGGGTAAAATACCAAGAGGGAATGGGCTGGATACTTCCGAAGTGGAATTGGGCTTACAAGAATAGAGGGCCAATACCAACAAATATAACAAATTATTATATTTCAAATGAAATAAAGAAAATCAGTGTTAATATTGTTATACTAAAATCATTAATGAAATTAATTATAAAATACCAATGAGATAACCTATTTGTGTTCTATTCAACTTTTGACAATAAATATTATAAATATGTATAGATATTTCAACACATGATATATGAATATAATATACGAAAATATTATTTGTGAGAATAATGGCTTACCCTACTGGGAGCCCTGAGCATGTATTTATATTAAAACAATGTTTAGGAAAATTACATAATAAACCCACACTAATACATTATTACACCCCCTCAATCTGTGCAGGGGATACAACGCGCAGATTGGAACGTAAAAACTCAAAACGCTGACTAGATAAATTATTAGTAAAAATATCAGCGAGCTGGAACTGTGTGGGAACATATTTAACAGTGAGATCTCCATGAGCTACTCTTTCACGAACAAAATGGTAGTCAATCTTTATGTGTTTGCTGCGGTCATGCTGAATGGGGTTGACAGCTAGGTAGGAGGCAGAGACATTGTCACAATGCAATTGAACAGGAGCCGAAATTAAGATCCCCATATCCACAAGAAGAGACCGAATAAATAAGGTATCCTGAACAGTGTAAGCTATGGCCCTGTATTCAGCTTCAGTGGAAGATTTTGAAACTGTCGGTTGCTTCTTGGATCGCCACGAAATAAGATTCGTGCCTAGGAAAACAGCATAACCTGTGGTGGAACGAGAGCTGTCAGGGCATCCTGCCCAATCAGCATCTAAATAAGCCACAATAACAGAGATATTTTTGTCGGACCGCAGCCATAAACCATGCTTGGAAGTGCCCTGTAAATACCTGTAAATTCTCTTCACAGCTAATAAATGTGAGGTGCGGGGAGCATGCATAAACTGAGAGACCAGGTGAACAGCATAAGTAATATCAGGTCTATTGAGAGTCAAATACTGAAGAGCACCTACCATGCTGCGATACTCAGTAGCATCAGATAAAAGCTCCCCATCTGTAAGAGAAAGTGTAGTACGAGAAGGTAAGGGTGTGCGTACAGGCTTAACAGTATGTAAATGAAAACGTCGTAATAAGTCAGTAATGTATTTTTCCTGAGAAATAAATAACCCCTGAGAATTGCGACGAGCCTGAATACCCAGAAAATAATGAATATCCCCCAAATCCTTCATAGCAAATTGCTGAGATAAGGTATCAATAATAGAGCGAACAAATGAGAAAGAAGACCCGGTAATCAAAATGTCATCCACATAAAGAAGTATATAAACTGTCTGTGACTGAGACCGGTAGACAAACATGGAGGAATCTGACTTACTTTGACAGAACCCATGACTCAATAAGAACCCACTGAAACGATGAAACCAGGCCCGATGTGCCTGTTTGAGACCATACAATGCCTTGCGAAGACGACAAACGTGATTAGGAAAGGACGGGTGAATAAAACCTTGAGGCTGACGCATGTAGACCTCAGTGAGATAACCATGTAAAAAGGCATTTTTAACATCTAATTGAGGGACAGACCATCCCAAAGAAGCCGCAACAGAAAGAACAAGACGAACAGTCGTAGGTTTAACAACAGGGCTAAAAGTCTCGGTGAAATCAATGCCAGCCTGTTGTTTAAACCCTTGAGCGACTAGGCGAGCTTTATGGCGCTCAACAGACCCATCAGAATGATATTTAGTCTTAAAAATCCACTTACATCCGACCACATTTTTAGTGCGATCCCAAGGAACTAAATCCCAAGTCTTATGATTGATTAATGCATTAAATTCATCAGCCATGGCAGCCCGCCACACAAAAGATTTATTTGCCTGTGAAAAACAAGTAGGATCATCCGGGGGAGACTGAACACTTAAAGTAAAAATAGGTTTAGGTTTGAAAATGCCATTCTTGGCCCGTGTATGCATAGGGTGAACATTTACGGGTATAGAAGTGGAAGAAGAAGTGACTGCGGTATCTGTGGGGGGGTCTAGTTGGTCGAAGCTATCTGCTGTGTTCAGGGACTGGGTGGTCTGGGTAGTGGTAGATGAATGGGGGGACGGGTCGTCTATGATTAATGGGAAGCTACTGTAAGGTGGTGACTTAGGTGAGCTTGGATTGGAGGTTTGAGGATAATCTGTAGGTGGGTGGTCTGGCGTGGCTGGGGACTTTGAGAAGGGAGTAGTGGTGGATTTTGATGATGACTTCAGGGACAAAGGTAATGTTGGGAGAAGGTAATGTTGGGACAGAGGTCTGCCACGTGTGCATGGGTACTATGGGGTGCGAAGTAGCAGAGGAAGATACTAGTCGGGAAAAAGGAAATTCATTTTCAAAAAATTGAACGTCACGACTAATATATACACGGCCAGTGGATGGTGATAAACATCGGTAACCCTTATACCCTTGTTGATGAGAAGGGAGAAGGGCAGACCTTTGTCCCAACATTACCTTTGCTCTCTATGCTTTCAGGGACAAAGGTAATGTTGGGACAGAGGTCTGCCACGTGTGCATGGGTACTATGGGGTGCGAAGTAGCAGAGGAAGATACTAGTCGGGAAAAAGGAAATTCATTTTCAAAAAATTGAACGTCACGACTAATATATACACGGCCAGTGGATGGTGATAAACATCGGTAACCCTTATACCCCGGAGCATAGCCCAGAAAAACACAAGGTACAGAGCGTGGTGAGAGTTTATTTGAAGAGGCAGCAATGAAATTAGGAAAACACGCACAACCAAAAATGCGAAGAAAATTATAATCGGGAATTTTATTAAAAAGTTTTTCATATGGGGACACTCCATCTAAGATTGGTGTGGGCAGACGATTAATAATATAAGTAGCTGTGTAAAGTGCATCAACCCAAAAATTACCAGGAATAGAAGAATCAATTAACAAAGTCCTAGTTAATTCAAGAAGATGTTTATGTTTGCGTTCAACCACACCATTCTGAGCCGGAGTATCCGGACACGACTTTCTAAATAAAATTCCAGATTTTAAAAAATGTTGGTGAAAACTAGAATTATCAAACTCACCACCACCATCACTTTGAAAAATCTTTATTTTCAGATTGAAAAAATTTTCAACAAGTATCTGAAAATTACAAAAATGAGTAAAAACCTCAGATTTTCGACGCATAGGATAAATCCAAGTATAACGAGAGAAATCATCAATAAAAGACACATAATATTTAAATCCTAAATTAGATAAAATAGGCGATTGCCAAACATCTGAATGAATAAGTTGTAAAGGTGTTGTAGAGTCATGAGTAACATCCCTAAAAGGTAAACGGTGGGATTTCCCCAACTTACAAGACGCACAATTGTGATTAAAAGAAGAAGAACTAGAAATAAATTTATTTTGCCTAAGACGACATAAAACTCGATCACCACAATGCCCCAGACGCTTGTGCCAGACTGGACCAGGAACGACTTGGGCTTGAAGGGCAGTGAAAGGATAGACTTGATCTTTATGGGAAGCTTGAAGAAGAGTTTCCCCCATTTGATTGTCCTTTATAGAAAAAGAATTTTTATTAAAAACCACTTGACAGGCATTATCCGCACACAATTTTTGAATAGATAATAAATTATATTTAAGGTGTGGGACATGATACACAGAATTAAGATGTAGCGGGCGACCATAAGTGAGCAATTTAACATTACCAACATTAGAAATAGGCAATTTAGTTCCATTAGCAACGCACACTTTTTGTGGACCAGAGTAAGGAATTTTATGAGACAGAATACCTTCGTTTGGAGTCATGTGAGCAGAAGCTCCCGAGTCCGGATACCAAACAGTGTCATTATGCTCACCGGTGGGTAAAGCAGCCAACGCGGGAGCACTAGGACCAGTAAAACGAGAGCACGATAAGGCGGAATGACCTGGAGAAAAGCAAAGCTGGCAAACAACTGGAGGAGGAGGTGAGTGATAAGAATGATCCACAGATGGAAAACCTGCACTGACATCATGAGTACCACAAACAGGAAAGTAATCTGTATGACAATTTCTAGAACTAATATTACAAAATACTGAACCTGAGTTTCCCAGATGCGGTCCCCTAGGCTGAGAACCAGGCTGGCCGTGGGTATGAGCATACGCAGGTAGTCCCCCATATCCTACTGGAGGCTGGCCGTAGATACTTTGTACTGGATGTTGCTGGTGAAACTGACCACCGCGTCCTCTACCACGGCTTCCACGAGGCCTGTAGCCGCCTCGATAACCTCGACCCCCATTTTGTCCTGAACTGCCACCATAATGTCCTGAGTTGCCACCAGGATGTCCAGAGCTACTGCCACGCGAAGAGGACCCATTTCCCCTGGCACCCCCTCGGCCAGAAGACCCGGATGAACTGGCAGATGATGCTGCAAAAGCCTGATGAGTGGGCGTGGAGTTCTGGGAACGAAAAAACAATACCCGTTGCTCTTGGGCAAGCAGAATTGGGCGAAGAGTGTCCAGTGTGGCATTGCCCGGAAAATACGAGATAGCGGTAACCAAGGACTCATATTCAAACCCCAACCAGATATAGCATATTCAATCATCTCACGATTAGTAATGGGGGAATTAATAGCAGCTAAAGCATCGGCCATGACCTTAATTTCCCGTAAATATTGATCCATGGACTGAGACTCCTTCTTTTTAATATGTGATAATAAACGCTTGAGTTCCATGGACCGGGATAGACTAGCAGACATAAAACGTGTCTGAAGTCGATCCAAAATTAAATGGGAAAATCTAAGGTCATAGACTTCAATCAAAATATCCTTGGAGAGAGTAGCAAAAAGCCATGATCGTACTATTTGATCAATTTTAAGCCAAAGGTGATATTCGGGATTAGTGGGGGCAGGCACAGCAATTGAACCATCCAAAATACCAAGGAGGCTATGAGACACCAAAAAAGACTCAAATTGAGTTCTCCACGGTAGGTAGTCCTCAACAGCATCAAGCCTAGTCGTGACAATATTTGTCACATTCGGAGTAGAAAAAGTTAATTGAGAGGCTAATGATGATAATGATGTGGAGTGAGGCATAAAACCTGGAAGACGTGAAATAGAGGAGGGCTGCATGGGATACATTCCAGGCTGTCTAGAAAGTGTAGGACCAGCAAACTGAGGCATGGCGGCACCGATTGCTGGCATGAAAGCAGGTGTGGAGAGGACTGGTCCGCTGGAAGAAGAGGCCTCATGGTCATGTGATGCGGACGGTATCCAGGAGAAGGGCTCAGGCATCCCAAACCTGCTGTAATTCTCGAGCGGAGGTGGTGGAGAGAAGAATTGGGATTGTTGACGGAACCCTGGATCGGTGATGGAAGGCTGCGCAGCAGAGAATGAAGCTGGCGCCATGTATTCCGCAGTGATGGTGCTCGGCAGGGAGCCAAAAAGAGGTGCTGAAATAACCGCGGTTGAGACAGGTGCAGTATGCGCCGGGGATGGAGCGGCGATGGAGAGTTGCACCACGGTAGCAGGCGCCATGGAGGCTGCGGCTGAGTTGGAGACGTCGTCCATTGGTGGGGAGAAAATAAAACCCTAGGCAACTGATACCATATACTGATACCATACCGAAGTAATTCGGTACGGTATCATATCGTACCAAAAGCGTCGGTATACCAAACATTTCGGTAAATTCGGTATTTTTCAATATGGTAAGTCCGGTATACCGAAATTTCGGTATTTTCCCCCACCCCTAGGAGTAGCTCATGTGTTAATATAGCATTTTGTTCGTCCAAACTTTTCCGGTGTGAGACATTTAACACCCCTCCTCACGACCAGACACTTCGTCTGGATCGTGTCATCATTCATTTTTTTCATTGGTCCGTTTTTTTCATCCGGTCGTAATTGTCATTTTTATAATTGTGTCA